TTTGCTCAAACGGGGGAGTATAGTAGTATGTATATCAGACAAAAAAGTCTTGTCTTGTCTTGGGCGAAGTGGACAGCCCCCGACGGAGAGAAATCCAGGGAACAGAGAAATGAGACAAGGGAGAGAGCAACTGGACTCACTCAGAAGAGCCACAAAGTTGCAGTTGCAGTAGCAGGTGGCGCGGGGAAAAGAAGAAACGAGACGAGACCCAAGAAGCACATCAAAAGTAAAAGTCCAATGGCCAATGGTGGTTCTATCCACCACCTACGTTACCTACCACCAAAAAGGGAGCCCTGGGAGCAAAGGGGCGCGAGGTTGACAAAAAAGATCGAACGAGGCCCTCCAATGTGATTTGTACGACTGTGACCGTTGGATTGTATGGGTGGTCTGCGGCACATGCATGCCTCGTGGCTTTCACATTCACATTCACATTCACTCTCACCCTGCATCTGCGGCGTCTTTTCCGTTTGGTCTATCCCGTTGGTCACCCTCCTTCTTCTCTCAACTCTAACTATCCCCCGATCTATGACCAAGACGAAAATGAGTCGACCAAAAGGTCACAGACAACACCCATTGGCCGAATGGTGTCCCCGGGGAAGCAACTCTGGTTCTTTTGCTGGGTCCCTTTCAGCTGGGAAGGTCTTTTTTCGCACGCTAAATTGCTGGTGAGAGGGGGGCCCAATATCGAGTCAGTTGACCTAAACAGGCCTGGAGGGGATGGCGGGGGTCTGGGTCTGGGAATGAGAGCAAGGGTGATGATTTCATGGAACCAGGTTTGGGAGAATAGAGAGAGAAACATTCAGTCAGTCAAGATCGAATTGGTTGGTTCAGTGGCGTAATCATGGACGAATATGCTTAGTGGTGTTAGTTGTGATACTGAGAGGCTTGTGAGAAACAGGGGTTCTGTTCTAACGGCTCATGTCATGCCATATGCGAAAACGGTGCTTGTGAATCCGAGGATGTTCAAACTGAAGGGAGGGAACGCGTTTCTGGATAGAACAGTCTTAGCTAACGTAACATGAACCACACCGAAAGGCAGAGAGGCAATCCAGACGATCTGGTGTTTGTGATGAATCTCAAAAAGAGGTCCAGGGTTAGCTGATACGAGCAGGAGATCATGAGCAAAGCAGCCATAGACTGTCACTTCTCACATACCGCAGTCCATATCATCTACACTATAGCGCCGCTATGATGATGGCCTGCATCGACTATATCTTAGAGGCAGCATATAATATCACGCAACATATACATACTTTTCATCCCTTATGTTCGTCTCATTCACTCAAGCCTCATTGGGGTTCAAAGTGCCTTCATTAAACTTACCCCTCTCACCAAAACAGCCTCTGAGCACAAGTTGAAGCCATTGAGATGCGATGGCACCACCCCTCAACAATTCATTGGACGAAAGGGGTTTCTCAAAGGTAGAACAGACAAAAAATATCCATAGTAGGCAATCTGAATAATATGCATCTGTTCGCGTAGAGAGTTTCTGAAAACCACCGTCTCAAGCCCGTCTCTCTAATTCTCGTTAGCCCATCCTCCGGCAAAGGGGCCCGACCCAAAGGCGCTGCACCGTCTCAACGGGTTCCTCCCGTCCACGTTAACGTCGCTCCGTCAGTCCAAAAGGAACACAAGCGGCGTCGCGGACTGGATGCCCGACTGGTAGATTACCCACATCGGGTAGTCATCTCCCTTTTTTTTCTCTGCTTAGGCTTATTCTGCCTTGGAGGCAGTACCAGAGAGCAGGCCATTTGATGGCGTCAAAAAGACAGATCAAGAGTGGATGGGGTGAGAAAAAACGTAGCCAATTACAACGATTTGGTACCTGGATCTTATTCCACTGCAGGGACACCATGCAACCCTGGTTTTTTCTTTTCTGTCCCCATGCATTTTAGCTAAGGCTAACTAAGCCAAACATTTGGAAATTAATGAAATAGCTTCAGATCGTATCCACGATATTATCCATCAGCTATTACGTCGATGAGAGAACAACTTCCAAGGCACAAAACAAAGAAACATTCAGCCGTTTATTCATCCATCCATGATCCCAGTGAACTTAATCAGACTAAGTTAACCCAAGTGCACCGAGTCCATGTTCCTGGGGCCGTGTTGTGTTGCATAGCGCTGCTGACGTACCGTAATAATATGAATGAATGGATGGACGGATGAGTCCGCGCGGGTTACCTGTCCAATCTCGATTTTATCACGATTGCATTACTACAGTGCTCCCAGCGATTTGAAATCGATTCTATGCGGAGGGAAGACCGCACCGATCATCTCTGGTGGGATCCATCTGACCCTTGTTGCTTCCGGTGAGCTTCTGGTCAAGTTCGAATTCTTGGATCTACATGGAATCGAGATGACACGCAGGGATTATGTAACTGTCAACTCGTCTCGCTCCGTGCTCCGTGATTATTTCGTCTTGTCAACGGAAGAATCTCTGCGTCTGCCTTGCGCTCGGCGATTTCTTGACAATCTCCACTGGCTTCAGGGGAATCTTTCAGTGTACAAGTAAGAATGACTTCAGCGTGGCGAAATAGCCTGACAAAAAGGAAACCTCAACGTTTTTACAAACTCCATCTCACTGCTTTAGTGCAGACTCAGTGAAGAAATACCACTCATGCGGGGGCATCTAAGCCTCTGCTAATCTCTCTGTTCTGCAGCTACAAAGCCTAAAAAGTAAACATAACATTAACCTAGTCTTGTGTACAAAGATCGGAAATCAGACTGGCCTTGACGTGACTTGGTCATCAACAGAGCGCGTTCTTCTGGAACCCTTTGAAGAAGTCGGCTAAGACTCCCCGCTTTTTGAGTGGAAACCTTGTCAATGGGATGAGCTGGACCGTCAAGCACGAGGCATCCATCGACAAGTGCATCTTTTAGGCGAAGGAGGCTTGCTAGCATTCGAGTACGTATGCTGACAATTGCTGAGCACAGATTAATTGAAGGATCGCAAGGCTTAGACAGTAGCTCGTCAGAGTTGCGTATTCCATCGATCGAGATGTGGTCAGATGTCCTCATGATATGAGATTTCACATTCCAGTTGAGAGACTATACAAGACATGCGTTAATAGCATGTGAGACAGCGTGGTGAAGTGCACAAGAAATCATGCATGTTTCTAAGATCCATACTAGATGCCGAAGCTCATCTCGGTAACGTCCAAATTACACATGCCCACTCCGAACCACCGGGTCATGATCTGTTCTCCCGTCGTCATCACCCGCCCGTCGTCCAGGGAAGAGTGACATATTATGTTTATGCAAATACAAACAAAACACTCGACACTCTATCACGCGCGTCCGTGTCGTGTCTTGATATGATGACCGAGGCGCAGCCACCCCGAACTAGCAATCCAGCGGATCACGCCTCGTTCATTACTAAAGGGTCTGGTCTCGCTCAAGAGACCCAGATTGCGCAGGCAAAGACAACGGTTCCCGTCTTGGCCTCTCGATAGTAGAGACAGTTGAGGTGAAGCTAGACTCGAAGTGAATGCAAAAGGGTCGTGGCCAAGTTCAGGGTATTTCAGCTGAATTCCGTGCGACCCCAATTCGCTCGGGAACGGACGTTTCAGTCGTCAAATGGTAAATGTCTCTCAGTACGAGATTCAAATGAAGGGTCTTCAATTTACTTTGGTTATCGTGGCTTGGTATCACCATTGTAAGCCCTGAGTCCAGGATTCTGGGATTCCTGGTTGCATGCTGAGTGACCTGGCGGCCTACCCGGGACCTCATGATATGGATATCTGCATGCATCAAATAACCCGTGACTTGATACAGCTGCAATGCTCAGAGCCAATGGCTCTTCAAGCCACTGTAATCTTCCAAATAAACTATTCATGCAATGCTAAGATCGACATCAACTGGAAATAACGCCAGCGAGGAAAGGGCAGGCGGAAACGCGGGACGGAAGCAGGGAGAACAAGACATTGTCTCCGCTCAGACCTGAGACTGTCCGTGTCTCTTTGCTTTTTGCCTTCCCTTCCCTTATTCTGGTATCAAACTCTCGCATTGATCATCTTAATACTCTTCTTTAAGTAATGGCCGGATTTTGGTCTCGTCGTCCAGCCAGCGAGAGGCAAGGAATCAAGCACATGGCTGCAAGCTCTGAAGGGCAAATCGTAATGTCATGCAGCTGAGCGGCGTCAACCTCACGTGTCAGGGCGCGCAAGAATTGTTTTCAAAACAAAAGCAAAAGGCAGAAAGTAAATACCAAAAAGAACTTGTCACCAAAAAGGCCGTCAATTTTGAGCGCACCCACGAATCCAAACTGCCAAACCAAACATTCTGACGAGGGCTCTAGGGTAGCTCGTGCTGAAGCACGGACCACCACGACACGTGACCGGACATCAAGCTCCTCATCATATCACTCTTCGATGACGCCAACTGTTCGGCCGCACCACCGAACCCTCCGACGCCAACGTCGGTTCGGTTCAAGGGCACTCGTCTCACCTGCGCATCATCCTTGAAGCATTACGAGCCGGAGAAACCTGCGCCGCCATCCGCTCCCGGTTTTACTTATTCCCAGAATGAACAAGGTCCAAGCTTCCCCCAAGCTCTTGGAGAAGTGAGATGTTACAGAGCTTGAAAGAGAGCTCCGTTCGTCCTTGTTGTTGACTCGATAGCTGCTGACAAGGGCATGTATCAGCCCCTCGAGGACAGAAACCAGAACGGAAAATCATTGCACTGTGCCTTTCTCACGTTGGTTCTATGAATTTACTCTGTACAGCACATCATTAAACGAAACAAGGGCGGGAGAGAGAGGCAATGGCAAACAAACAAAAGGACCCAGTTCGTTCCCGGCGAGAATGAATTTCCGAGACACTTCCACCCAACTCTGAGCGAGCCTGGGCTACAATGTGAAAGTCCTACGTCACATATCCGGCAAAGCTGTTTGTTTGCCCAGCCACGGACGGAAGTCAACTGGCGTCCCCCAAGCTCTCTGCCTCCCTCAGTCTCTCCTCAATCAAGCCTGCGGGCATTCCCCCGCCTTTGGCGTTTCTTTACAGTTCCTTCTCCTCTTGTTCCTTGGTACTAAGACGGGAGAGGCAAAACCCAAATCCGAGAAGCCAGCCGCCATCGATGCTTTCCGGGTACATAGCAGATAAACTCGGCTAGCTCTCTCTTGATTGGACGCACGTCTGTTGCGCGTCTTGGTCGCCCTGATCGGACCTGATCTGGTGGTTCGCAAGCGGCCAGAAAGCTTTTTGCCTTGCAGCAGCAGCGTAATATGGCATGGCAAGGCAAGGTAGGTAAGGTAGCTTACCTCCGGGTAGCTTGTCCACACCATAGCTGGGCCACCCAATCCATCCTTCGATGACAGGCTCGTGGGACTGTACCTCTGGGCGTCGCATTGTTTCCTTGCATTCCCATGTATTCATACACGAATCTCGTTAGTGATGTCCGTACATAGTGTCATGGAGTGTATCCAGTGATGTTGGGATGGCTGTGACAGCCGCAATTGGCTGGATTGAGAGCTCTCACACAAGCAAGCTCTCGGGCTGTCTATCGCTCCATTGTCACTGTAGCTGTTGCTCTCGCCCTCCAGCTCCAGCTCCAGCTCCTCTCCTCTCGCTCTTGTGTAGTGCGCACGCGCAGCCTCTCCCACCCTTTGCCGTTCCCACTCCCCCTGGATCTCTTTCTCTCTCCTCTCTTCTATTCTTGCTTTACCTAGCTTCTCTATCTCGTGCTGTGCCTTGTCTACCTTTTAAAACCCTCCTCTGCCCCCCGAGAGAAGCGCCTTGATCTCCTGAACTTGTCAATCGCATTGTACAGACTCCCATACATCACACAGACGAGTAACTATCACCATGTCCCGCAAGAGAAAGCAAGACGAGGAGGAGGAGCTTGTCTCCCTCCCTGAAGACGATGATGGTGAGGAGGAGGAAGAGTGAGTACCATTTGCCTTTCTTTTGCATGTTACCTTGTTGCGATCGCCTTTCTGAGGAGCTTTCGACTGTCCAATCGCGCGCATTTTTATCGTTGCGCTATTCGTTGCGCGACCTACCAAGATGCGCGCGTAGGGCTGATGTCGCATGCCACCACAAGATACGATCCAATGCGATGCGAATTATTTCGCGATTGAAACCATGCCCACGTGTCAGTTGCGGTATTTTCCGATCGCATTGCGTTTCTTCTTGCATTTGGTATTGTTTGCTGCTGTGCGATTTCGCGATCGAAGCATGTTGTTGATGATTGCATTTTGGCGATGACGATTGGCTGACAACATGTGAATAGGTACGTCTCCACCGCAGACGAAGAAGAGCAAAGCGAAGAGGACGAGGACGCTGAGGAGGAGGAGGAAGATGAGGAAGACGACGAAGCTGATGCACAGGGTAAGTGATCATCGATGTTCTGGAAGAGCTCGCCACCAATACATACTTCCATCCCTTCATGTTCCATTTTACCAGTTAGATGGTCTCTTCCAAGAGCCTGGCAACCGGCCTATGATATCGAGCCAAATGCTGACTATATCATTTCAGCCGAGCCTCCTGTAAAGAAGCGCAAGACAGCCGAGGCAGACACCAAAGAAACCAATGGCGACGCCGAGGAGGAGGAAGAAGAGGAGGAAGAAGGCGACGATGATGCTGAAGCTGAAGGCGACGAGGAGGACGCCGAGGGCGATGAAGACACTGCTGATGTCTCCGCTCCAGCCAAGGACGGCGTCAAGACTGCTGAGGCGCCTGCTGCTGCTACTGAGACCCCAGAGCCCAAGGCGGTTACAGCTGGTGGTGACGAGTAATACCTACGAGGCGACTCGTGTATCGTATAGCAATCCGTTCCTTTTTACTCCATATATCTTTCAATCACATTGAATTATTTCTGATACTGTTGCCTGGGAGTGTCACTATCTCTGAGTTGTGCCATGGTTGAGTGTAGGTTGATTTGGGTGATGATGGTGTTTGTGAAGTCACTTATTCGTGATACCGCCCTTCTCCCTGTGTACCTCTCCTTCATTATCCCCTTTACTAACAAGTCAGTATCATATTCATGATCATGCACCCGAGCACACACAGATCTAGCCAAGGCAGATCAGATCTTGATCCTAATCTTGATCTACCCACGCACGCAGTGTCCACTTACCGATCTACCCATTTAGATAAAGTTTTTGGAAATAAACAACGAGACGTTCTCTTTTTCCCCAGGGGGGATGTCATGAAAATAAGACGCAAAACCCCTGCCATGGTGTTGTAATTGGTTCAGAAGGCATGGGGGACTCCGCAACGGGTAGGGCTGAGGGAAGGTTGAGGGTTTGGCTGACGGTCATGATGTTTATTCTTGGGGTTGATAGGGGGTGTTGTCGTAGGAGACGTATATATTTTCTTGGGTGTTTTTGGTACGTAGGTAGGATGGGCTTGTGAAGCCTTGTGAAAGAGAGGATTGAGTAAAGACACTAACGAGTTGTAACTTGGGAGAGCAAGGAAGTGTATGAAACGAACAGAGTTACAAACTATTTGAAAGAGACAATATCTTCTCGATGGCTGCTGGCCGGCTGTCGAGGGTACAGCACAACACTCGGGGGTTGAACTGTCAAGACGTTGGTTGATCTTAGCTGACGAGTGCCAACACCACCAAATAACGGGGGCCACGTTTGTCCATCCATTACCCCAGATTCTTTTAGTTTCCAAGAACCGACAAGACTGAACATGTACCCAGAGTAGACTGCAGTACCGTAGGATCATCAACGTATACAGCAACATTAGCCGTTGCAGGGTGGTCTGATACGATCATCGGTTGCTGCATGCCAATGTCTGTACCACGCGGCATGCGGCAGACCTAACAAGGCCAAGCCTGAATAGCAGGATCTCTCTCTTCACTCTCATGATAACCTACGGTCATTGGTTCTGCCAAACAAAAATACAACAGTAAAAGTCTGAATTACCTCTGAATGATGGCATAAATACTACGCGATGACTCAACAACCGGATCTCATTACCCAAGAACCAAACGCAACACAAAAAAAGATAGTGGGTTCTATTCGATTCGACTCGACTCGACTCGACTCGACTCGGGGCTTCGGAATTTGTCAGAGTCTGAGGCCGGCTCGTGACCACTTGCTTCAAAACTTCACAGGGCGCAAAGCAAAACTAAACATGGCCTTTGCGAAGGAGGCTATTCCCCACGCACGACTTGTTCCAAGGCAAACGAGATTGAGGTTAGTCAACGATACCCCATCCTACAGGGATCAGCCCCGCCTGTAGCGTCTGGGGATACACTCAGGCCACCCCGAGGTTTTTTTTTATCCTGTCATGTTCCTAGTTTATCGCGACGACATGACTTTGGAGGTTACGGTTGATTATATTCTTCTGACTCGGTGAGACTCGAGGTATAAGAGCATCGTCTCTCTTTTTGTTTACAACAGAGACACAGTCAGGCTGTGACGAAACTCGTTCAGAAACGCTCTTACGTGGCTATTAGGTAGCCAAGGGCCCGGATTTACTAACAGAATGCCCATCCTTGACAGGTGCCAAGCCCATCTCGTGTAGACCATTGGCCTTTGCGGAATACTCTTGACTCAGGCGTGTAAGTTATCAATCTTTACATTGGTTGGTTACCCATTGCATCTTTCCCCTTCCAAGCTTCACGCCCATGCTTTAAGCGAAGGATAACGAGCACCTGAACTTGTGATGCATCACATTGGCCCGTCCCTCCTCTTACTCCGGTCACGGCTTGTCAGGTCCGAGGCCGTCTGTGTCCTGGCTGTGCTGTGCTAGGTCGACTATGTGCCATACTATGGTATTATTTCGTGCCTCTCTCTTGTCTCCGTGTCGTAATGCCATGCCATGCCATCCCCCCTTGGCCCATCCTCCGCTTCTTTTCATACTTTGGCACCACCCTCGATGGATTAGTTGGTGGTAGTTATGCATGGTGGTATTTTTTTCTCTTTTTGCGAACGAGCCTTGGGTCTTGGCACTCTTTTCGAGTTTTTTGTGCCCTAGATATTCTGTTATAAAAGGGGACCTGTTCAGCCCAAGTTTGTAGTTGTGAATCTTTATCCTTCTCTGTATACACACGGTCTTCCCGTCTGCTGCTCTCTCTCCTCATTCACACTGAAAAAAGCCAGACGAGAGAAACAGAAGAAATCACAAGGAACAGAAAACAGAGTAGCTACGTTATGGCTTGCGGCTTGTCGACAGCAAAAGACATCCGACCAGCCTCGCGACTACGAGTCTGCCGCCTTCTTAACTGCCTATAACAAGAACCCCCCCTTCTTTCTTAAACAAAGACACCCAGCAAAAAAAGACAGAAAAAGCATAGAGAAGAGAGAAACCGAAAACACTCTTCGGGATCGTTGTTCCACTCCCTTCTCGTGATGACGGGGTTCAAGGACAACCTCGTGCTAGATCTAGTATTTGCGGATAACCGTTAAAACAAAAACGCGGCCTACAATGATGATGAGCTCGACCTTCCTCGAGTCCGCCGGCGACGGAGACGGAGCTGCGCGCTTCGGACGCATGCCCGATGACTGGATGAATGGTATCGATACTACCGCCATGCCTTTCTCCAGCTTAGATGCCCCCTACGAGGCTTCTACAGTGAGTCACTCTCAACTACCCAACTCACAAGAGACATGTCTAACTCACTCCTCAGCAGCAGAACCCTCTTCAGTCTCCCGAGACGCCCAGTCTCGATAACACCGTCTTCCCCTCCCCTCTAACAGACCTTGCCTACCTTGACCGTTCCTTTGGAGACTTCTCCCCCAACGGCTACGCACTCCATTCCACGACACCGGGTCAATTCCCCGTCCATCCCCCTCATCGCACCTCATCCGCCTTCTCAGAAGGCTACGACCTATCCACAGGCAGTCCATCCCTCGGCGCCGTCTGGCCAGCTCACGTCTCGCCGACGGCAACATTCCTACCCACGCCGCCCATGGCGGACGAGCTGTCACCAGCTGAGTCTGAGCCTGAGGAAGATAACCAGGATGACGATGAGGACTACGACGATGACTCGGAGCCAGCCAGCAAGAAGCGCAAGCGCTCAACAGCAACAAAGACAAGGGCAAAGGGTAAAGACGGACCTAAACGTAATCCCACCCAGCTCCGCACTGCATCGCGCGCTCCCAAGAAGCGCGCTGTTGCTCAGCCCAGACATCCCAGCGAGACTACAGAGGAAGTCAAGGCGCGTGCTGCACACAACCAAGTCGAGCAGCAATACCGCAAGCGTCTCAATACCCACTTTGAGCGTCTTCTCGCTGTCCTCCCTGCTCCCGGCACAGAAGGCGGTATCGCCAATGATCGTCGCGTGAGCAAAGCCGAGGTGCTTGACCTCGCACGCGAGAGAATTCGCGCGCTGGAGAAGCAGACGGCGAGGTTAGAAAGAGAAAGACGAGAGCTCCGGGGAAGAATCGCTCCTGATGCACGAAGGTGTTTGGTTTAGAAATGTTGAAGTAGTTCCCTTAGGTACTGGATGGTTAAAGGATATGGAAAAAAAGGGGGTTGGCGTAAGGTACCTAGGCAAATGATCGGACATGATGGCGAATATGGAACAACAAAACAAAAAAACTGCGGATCGGATCTTTATTCTTTAAAAAAAAAAAGTATTAGAAAAACACAAAAACAAAGCATGCTTGGATCGGATGGTTAAAGGTTAGCGGTCACCGGTTAATGGGTTTGGGAGTTGCTTGGACATCGGTACCAGAACTGAAGCTTACGCATTGGAGGATATCTTTATGTTGTTTTGTTGAATGTGCATACTGTATTCCCGGTGCGATTGGTTAGATACTTAATCTCAGCTGCTTTTTCCATTTTCGTTCAAACATGATCAAGGATGATATCTCACTCACTGCCTTGCGTATTGTCCAAGGACTCATTCTCAACAAGCTTGATGACATCTCGAGAAGAGACCGCAGACACCCAATGGCCGAGTTTAATCGACACCCATAATCATATCCAAGAGGCGCCGTGCCGCAATTTTTGGTAAGGTTGGTATCGAGTTCGAGAAAACGATGGTGTATACCTATTGCCAGGGCATACGTACCAGGGCTTTCCGCGGCTGAAGGAGCTTGATCAACTCTATATGGCAATTAGAAATAGAAAGACACTACAGAAGATACTGTAAGTACTGTTGCAACAAGGGAAGAGGGTCGTTCCGAAGAGTGTCAGGTCTCGAGAGTCCAACCAGACCTTGGATGAATGGCGCAGGCGGAAGATTATGGGATAGAGGTACTGAATGAGCCTAAGAAGAGGCTCAGAAGTACTGAGTGTGACCCTTCCCTGAACAAGGAATTCATTGGAAATGACGAGCAAAGGTTTGTGATTATTCGATGAAGACATGTCTTCATCAAAGGGTATTATATCGAGAAGTGTAGAAATCTATGAATCTCTTGAACGCCAAGTACTTGGCAAACCACCTCCTCTCCGAGATCGCTAAACGCCAATAAGGTAACAAGAAATGCAGCCTCAACTCTCACAGCTTAGCCTTGCTTTCTTTTTGCTTCTCCTCTTCCTCTTCCTCCCTCATCACAGCAGCAACACTCTGCCTAAACTCCTCCGCCAAAACCACCGCCTCATCATCATCCAGCTCCTCTCTCCTCCCCCTCCCAAACATAGTAAAGCTCTCACTAAACCTCCCACTGGCTCTGATCTCCGGCCTCGGGATGATGTGAAAGTGCATATGCGGTACGACTTGCGCAGCAGCAGCTCCGTTGTTCTGCACCACGTTCCAATCTTCTATGCCCGTCGCACGAGCCATGGCTTTTGAAAGAACGCGCAGATAGCGACCCAGATGCGCGGATTCAGAAGCCGTCACGTCGCTGAGCTTAGGACGGTGAGGCCGTGTGCAGAGAAGAAGATGGCCGCGACTTAGCGGTAGAATGTCGAGGAAGGCGACGAGGATTGGTGTTGAGAGAACGATGAATGAGGCTGGTGACACGAGCTCTGGGTTGATGAGTGAGGATGTTGATGGTGGTGGATTTAAGGGGTCGAATGGCTCAAAGGTGGATGAGATTATGCAGAAGGGACATGATGATGTCGGGGGAGCTGAAGGATCAAACATGGTCGATGGTCTCCTCGAGATGTGATGTATGAGTTGATGTGAGCTTGGGTATGTTTGGGTGAAGAGTGAAAAGATGGAATGAAATTAATGACGTCGATGTTGAGGTTGATGATGTTCCAAGTTCATGAGCGTCAAGAGATGGTACCGAGGTTGAGATGATGGACCGGGACTTGCCAGGAACTGGAGATCGGGAACTGGGGTCTTTGATTTAGTGCATTTAGTGGAGGTTAATCTCTGTGGGGTACTTCAACCGCCCGCTAACGTTTCTTCTTATTCAACATTAGGTAGCTTATGGATTCGAGGTCAGCATGAGAGAGTTGCTGAGCTATTTCTTTATCATAAACTGCGTGGGCACTGTATCTAATGATAGAGTCGAGGACTTAGGAAGTATTTGCTATCGTTGAAGGTAGCTCGTACTCTGATACAATCACTGACCAACACTTGACAAGTCACCATGAGAATAGCATGGGTTGTATACTATCTATAGATGGAAACAAGATAAAAAGATCCTTATCTTAGCCATGCTAGGGTGATATAAGCACCTGGGACAGTGTATCACTGCGAAATAGTCTGGTTGCAACATAACGCCGTTCTTATCAAAACGGTACGTATCTCCGCATCCCACCATGACTCTCACCGCCCAATTCTGCCGTCCAAACTTTCCCATCACCGCCTTCATGACCAATTCAACATCCAATCTTTTCTTCTACTACCAAAAAGACCATCCATAACCCAAACCATCCAAACAACAACCTCAAAATGCCCCGCGAAGAATATCAAGTCCCAACCGCCAACGCCGGCCAGCGCGGCGGTACTCGCGACGACCACCAAGTCCGTCACGTCATGTCTTATATCTGTGGCGACTGCGGCGGCAGCGTCACCCTTGGAAAGGATGCCACCGTCGCGTGCCCTCACTGCGCAGGCCGTGTTCTCTACAAGGAACGCACGAAGCGGTACGCTATGCGACATAGGTGTTTTTTGAGGGGGACCGAGACTAACAGTGTTTGTAGAATGGTTCAGTTCGAGGCCCGATAGACATCCATACCGACGATGATTTTTTATACCAAAGAAAAAAAGCTTGCAAAGCATAAAGACGAGGTGTTGTGGCAACATTGATATTTCGAGATGGGAGTTTAGGGGTCTGGGAATTACGTCGAATGAAGAATAGACAATGCGACACGATTTTGCGCATGACGAGCTACAGTCTGCGCGATTGATTGATTACTTCTTTGTTTCCTTCAAAGAGTCGCCGTACGATATCTACCCTGCATAACTTAATCCGTGAACTACCTAGACAAATTCCTTATTTAAACCCCAAACGCCGCTATATGCTATTTTTTCCTTATTGCTGCTTCTGTTGGTTGTAAAGATACTTGGCGAAACTTGCGTCCTTCATAACAGAGTCCTCGTTATCGTCCATGGCGGCTGAGTATCGATCTTGGAGACTCTGCTTCTGAGCTTCTTCGTCAGAGTCAGTATCATCGTCGTCATCGCTGGCGACATCCACCTCGTCTTCTTCCTTCTGTGCCACCGGTAGACCACCGACTGACATGCCCTTCATCATCTTGTCCAGCTCCTTCTCTCGTGCAGCCTTCTTTGCCTCCTCACGCTCTGCCCTCTTCTTCTCAAGCTCTGGCAGGTAGTCACGCAGAAACTCCTGCTTCTTCTCCTCAACGGCCTCGAAAAACTCGTCCACGCCAGTACCTAGTCGTGAACTCACGCCGACGACACTGAGATGTGCGTAGAACTCTTCCAACACAAGACTCATCGAGTTGAGCAGGCTGCCCATGTATCCGCTTCCACCATGGCCACCACCCTCTGCACCGCCCAGCTCATCTGATTCCTCATCCCTTCGTAGCGCCTCTTGGAAAGCCTCAAAGTCGGTCATCCACTCCTTGGCAAACGCCGCATCCTTGACATCGGTCTTGTTGAAGACAAGAATCATGGGAAGCTTGGTCTTGTAGAGAATGGAGCATGCGTAGAGCATGTTGGACATGAATGTCGAAGTGGAGGCAGTTCGTGGGGTATCAATAACGTAGGCGATGACTGTAGGGAAAGAAGACGCAAGCGACTCGAGAAGAATGGTTCCAGAGGCTGACCATACAAAAACTTCGATCTGACCGGGCGTGTCGACTAAAATTCTATCGATGGGCTTGCGATCGGGCTTCTCGGGATCGGGCTGGGCGCGCTTCTCGAGGAGGTTGACGACCTGATCAACCTTTGTAGCGAAGAGGTTGAGCGAGGTGAGAATGCCACCGTTGGGGCCAAGGTTGTACTGCTTCATGACCTCCTCATAGTTGACCGAGTCTCGAATATCGATGTTGGACTCGAATGGTACGGACAACACAGCGGGATCGAGGTTGATGACATATGGAGGTTGATCATTCTGGTGGAGGTGAGCGTTGATACGTCGCATGAAAGTAGTCTTTCCAGATCCTAAGAGAGGGTTAGTTAGATATAAGGTTGCGCAACCATGAGCACTGAAACTTACCTGCCATGCCGACCACGACAATAGCGACGGCAGGCGAAGACGCCTTGGAGGCTTCGTCTGTGGAGGCAGATGCCATGTTCAATTATTTGCCCTTACTGCTGAGGATTGAGGTTGATAGAGTGAGCTCTTGGGCTGACGGTGAGGCAGAGCGTGGCGTTTAGAAGGGTATGGAAGGAATGAAAAGTGACGAAATGGAGACCTCAAAATTTTGGACGCGGTCAAGTCGATGTGGATGCCCCGCGCGGGGTCATTCGCTGAGAGAGTCTGTCGATACAGAATGAAGCTGAATAAGCCTGATATTGATTGTTCAGTCTGAGTCTTTTTATAGGTATCTACTGATTTGAATCTAGGAATTAAAATACATGATAGTTCTTCTTCCTTGAGAATTTTGGAAGGGAAACTCAAATCAAGAGCTGAAGTCTGTAGGCTGGCTGTATCGAAAGGGTATCTGCCAACGCAGCTAGCGACAGTGCTATTCACAATACATATAAAGCGTTTATCTCATGAGTATGTAATATTAACTTGTGATCAATACAATCACTACACCTATTGCGTTGTACTTACGATCACGACCCTTCTCTTGATATCAGCTTTTACATCTGAAAGTCCCTTACAAGAACCGGCCCCACTTCTCGGTGAGGCCCCCACTAGATCCGACATCCATGCCAGAAAAAAAGTTGCCCAGCATCGCTCGCATAGCATCTTTGACATTTTTCAACACCAACCAAACTATCACCAACACTTTTCTTTCCACAGCCCCAACCTAATCACTCAATTATCGCAATCGCTATAGACAGTCAAACAGAGCCATTGACGCTCTACCCTCCAAAATGGCCGAGCATGAATCCCAAATGCCCTTTATTCGCAATCTCGCTTCAAGCGGTTCGTCCTCCCCAATCCTCTCTTCTTATGAACTCGACTAACTTCTCCAGATCGCAAACTTCGAATGTCCTCGTTAGAATCCCTCTCAACATTCCTCGCCTCGCGCTCAAGCCTCTCCGACGTCGACGCCCAGAAGCTATGGAAAGGCCTCTTCTACGCCCTATGGATGACCGACCGACCCATCCCCCAGCAACGTCTCGCCACAGATCTCGCCAACCTCCTCTTCACCCTCAAGCCCGCCTGCGCCATCCCCTGGCTGCGCGCTTTCTGGGCCATCGTCGGCGCCCAGTGGACTGGCATCGACGTCTACCGTCTTGAAAAGTTCCTCCTCCTCGTCCGTCGCGTGTTCGCTTCCCACGTACGACTTGCTCGCGAGCGGGGCTGGAAGGACGGCGATGTAGAGGCTATTGTTGCTGTGCTGGAGGAGTATCCTTTTGAGAAGGAGGGTGATCTGCGAAAGAGCCCTGTGGGTATCAGATTGCATGCGCTGGATATCTGGGTTGATGAGTTGGAGCGTGAGCAGGCGCTGGAGCAGCCTGAGGCGGAGAAGTTTGTCAAGAGCGTGGGGGATCTTGTTATTGCGCTCAAGACATGTCCTGTCAAGCCTGTGAGGGCGCGCTGTGTTGAGAGTTACGAGGATGAGAGGTTGCCGTGGGTTAAGGCTGCCAGTGGTGATGAGATGGAGGAAGACGAGGAATGGGGTGGTATTGACGATTAAGAGCCGGTATTTGCAGGCGCATGGCGTTGGGATAGGGAAAATAAATGTATTGCGGATATGCCCGACTTCTTTATATATGGGCACGAGGTTGATACCATCTGAGATTATCACCACCATCTATTATCATTACTACTTGAAGAGTGCAATAATGTGTCTTTGAACGCCCGCTCCGATATGCATCTAATAGCAAAGTAAACTGCCCCTTGTGCCCGCATAGAATCACCACTCTGACCATTGTAGACGCTTAATTCACCAAACCCTGGTATCTCCTCCGACAGTCTCATCATCGTCGACTCGAATCTCATAGCCCATCTCTCTGGCTGCCTGCTGTCGTTGTTCCTCCTCCTGGGATCTCTTCCAAGCTTCCAGCCTTGCTCGCTCCTCAGATGTTGGTACGCGACGCTTCAAGAGACCCTTCTTGCGGAGACGACGGCGATGCTGACGCTTCTTGTCAAATGAGAGCCCGTGGATGTCAATGTCGGTGATTTCGCGATCGTACCAGACGTCCTTCATGTCGGCATACCAGTCAACCGCTTCTTCCATGAGTTGTCCAGCCAGGATGCGACCACGACCTCCAGTAACCCACTGGTCCAGCTTCACAGGAATGGCATTTCCAAAGGTAGGATCATCGACGGACCAGACGCAGGGAGGATTGCTGCAACTAACAGGACGACAGAAGGCATGGCACATGGTAGACTCGAGAGCATACCAAAGGCCAAGGAGGAAGAGAAAAAGACCAAGACCTGTGAAGCGGAAGGATGGTTTGCGGTGGAAGAGTTCTGGAAGAGGTAGTGAAACGTAAGACACCGTCTTGCCGTCGGAATGCGTGATGAAGGCGGTGCTAGCGCCGTGGTTGTCGGGGAGTGTGGCCATCTTTTCAGGCAGCGGTTCGGGCTTAGCGATGTCAAGGAGGTTCTTCTCAGTTGGCTCTTCTTTAGGTGTCTTGAGCTCAGTCGGCTTCTCTTCAGTGGCCTTGTTCTCGACAGCTTTACTCTTGGTGCTGACTTGATCAGAAAGACGTTCAATGCCCCTTGCTGCAGTATGGATCCCGAAGAGGCTGTTCTTGAGGGTATTGTTCATGCGAGTCATTCGATCCAGATCAGAGTTGTCGTTGCTCTGAGGGTCGATTTGGTTGGTTCGTGTGTTCAGTTTGGTGTCAAGTTCCAAGTCGAAGTCGAAATCGTCATCAAGTGATGAGTTCTCAGGTAGTTTATCAAGGAGAGCCTCAACTTCTTGAGATGGGGCTTTGCGACCGAGAATAACCTCTTCGAGATCATCTAACGTCGAGTCATCGATGTGATGTGTACGTTGAAGTTCTTTCAAATCGTCTTTGACTGTGGGAAGCTTGGCCGAGTTTTTCAGTGTTCCTCGGCGCCGTGAAAGAGATCGAGTGCGCCGTCTCCTCACCCCACTCGACGAGGTCTTGGTGGTCAATTTGTCGTCTGTCCCCGGGTCTGATGCAGTGTCCCTATCGCTACCACTCATAGCACGATCCGTCCTTTTATCACGGAACGATGCAGATCTTTGTCGCAATGGCCTTTCTTCCCTCTTTGGCTTTTCCTGTTTGTCTTTTATTTCGATCTTCTCCACCTTGACTGTCGCTGGTGTTTCCACGTATGCGCCCGTGACCTTTGGTGTGGGCATAGTCAATGGATCCGGCTTCGTCGGTCGCGGTGTCGCGTCAATATCTTTTTCATCGTCGACATCAGGCTCTGGAGATGGGGCCTTCATAGAGCCCTTCTCAGAGTGATTATCGCCAGGCGCAAACAGACTGGCCTCCGCCTCAATGCGGTCCGTGGGATCCGCCTCCGAATTCATGGATTTCTTACTCTTAACAGATTCCGTTGATCGAGTTCGAGACAGGCCAGCAAATGCGACACTAGGTTTGGGACTGAAATCTCTGTTAGAGCGATGTTGACGATTTCTGTAGCCATTGCTGGTTGAAGGTTGAGGAATTGCAGAAGCAGTGTCAGGCTTCGGTTCTAGGGGCAACAGAGCGGGTTTGTCACTGTCGGCCACCTGTCGCGGCTCAGGTTCTGGCGCAGGACTGGAACTGGCAGCCCGCGCCAGGCGTCGCAGTAGGTCTCGGGAATCCGTACGTGTGTGCGACAGACCTGGTCGCGTACGACTTGTCTCGTCCTTTTTTGAGTCACCATCCTCCCTAGGATGGTCCGATTCCGCGCTCTCGCGTCGCGACTTGTATATTGTCACAGGCGTGTCGGGGATACTGACACCGGCCCCTTCAAAAGCAGACCGAGGTCGAGGCGACGGCTCTTTCGGTTCGAGTTCACTTGTCGTCTTTGTCTCTGGGAGCATCCCTCGGCTCGTCCTGGGTCGATCTTCTGGGGAGCGTGAGCGACTCATTGCATTGTGCTCACGAATCTCTTCTAACTTAATTGATGCCATTGACCTCCTGGGCAAGCCGTTAACCTCCCGCTGTCGTATGTCGTCCAATTTGGTATTTCTTGGTCTTGGTGCGTTTCGATCAGGTATGGGTATTTGATGCTCGACCTTTTCCTCACGCTCCCGTATCTCGTCTATCTTTGTATTATGTGGTCGCGGCGGCTCGAGAGGAATATCGCTTCCTGTCTTGACCTCCCGTGATCGAATCTCATCAAGCTTGGTGTTTCTTGCTCCAGGCGGCGCCACCCTCGTCCGTGAGTTGATGTCGACTTCACTCCCTTCATCGAAGTGAATGCGATTTGCAAACGGACGCACGCCCATGCGAAGCCTTGGACTATCTGAAACTTGTAACTCTCCAGCCGTAAAGTCGTCGTCCACCTGCCATGCGAAGCTCTTTTCGGGGGATGCTGGGCCAGGTGCCTCGTTTTGAGCTTCTGGGCCCTCAATCGACGGGTACAATTCCTCAATACCAGGGACTAGAGCTGGAATTCGTCCTTGTTTCGTCAGGTCGTCTTTTGAAGGCATTTGTCTCAACGAGTGCGAGCCTATTCGTAGCCCAGCCGCACTCCCAGGCCGGCTATCTGGTCTAACCCCATTGACGGTCGTAGTTGGGGGCGCATGCGCAGGCGTGGTACTCTCCTGGGTCGGCTCTCTAGGCGTAAAGGAAAGTCCTGCCCTGGACTTGCCATAAAAGTTCCGTCGTCGCGACGATTCGGTCTTGTCTGGCGTTTTCTTTATCTCGGGTATCCTCGAAGCAATTGACCCTCGGGAAAAGGGGCGACTCGGAGCCTTCGTGTCCAGGTGATCGTGACTCAACATCTGCCGCATCTGGTTTCCCTCTCCTTCGTGTTTCTCGCGCCAAACTCGAGGTGCTGGACTAGGCGATGCATCAACCGGTTGTGTTCCATCGCTGTCATCCTCGATTTCCTTAGCAGCGAGGCGGAACGCATCGGTCATGGAGAGTCGTTTTCGAGTGGAGGAGGAAAATCCGGGCGTAGGTAATTTGCTGTCGCGAGAGCCAAGACTACCGACGCTCGCTCGCCTGTCAGGATCCGAATTTGTCGACCGCGCGAACCCATTGCTCTGTATACTAGACCCAAGCCTTGAATTGTTCTGCTGCGCTCGATCGTTCTCTTTGTTTCTGTCGGTTCCCCGCGGGATGTTGCTTGCGAAAAGAGGTTTCCTTCCGGACTGCTTCACAATAAGCTGACTGGGCCGCTCGGCCAGCGAGCTCTTGTCGCGATCCATCGGGGATACAATTGGGTGTGATTATATGAGGTTATGGTGAGGTCTCTAGCACATTATTTGTCGTCGTGGACAGCGCGTTCATTGCATCGCGATGGCGACTAAAAGTATTTGTATATGGAAATATGGTCGCTCGGATGTGATTTGATAGTCGTAGCTATATCTTGTCTGGATATGTCGAGTGAATGTTCGTACAGTTGGAGGTCGGGTATCTTGTACAGTCGCGAATCAAAATATCAACAGCGCGCGCAAAAGATAAATTAATTGACCAAATGTTTTTGTCGAGTCGTGGTTTAAACGCGTTGGAGGCTCCAGAAGTGGCCGAGCATGGGGGGCCTGTCACAGGGAGTCTAGTGTCCCCGTCCCGTCATTAACGGAGGTGGGGTCACCGTTCCACCGACCACGTCTCACCGTTACCTTACCTTACCTTACCGCAGCATCACCAACCAATTTAACCTACAGCTACCGCAAGTGTTAATAATACACTTTATTAAAGCCTTTTTACGGTTATGAACTGGCCCAGATGAGAAGTTTATCCGTCTCAATATCAGCTGACATTTGCAGTATATCCTCCAATTTGCTTGAAGCATGGTTGAAGCTCACTGTCAGCTCAGCCCTACCTATCATTAATAACTTAAGCTTGGTTAACTCTAAAGATTATTGTCATACCAACCAGGGCAACTTGGCATAATCTCCTTGACCTACCTTACTGCTAGCTCAGCAGAATCTGAGTGCTTTTTGTTTCTTTGCAAATTGATGCTTTTGGATACTGAGAATGGGGATCTAGCCAAACAAACATGAATGCAACCCAACAGCTGATGTGAGACGGAATAAAGTAGCTACCCTAGTTCGTCCCAACTCGTCTTGTGTCGCTCCTCCTTCCTAATCGATCTGTGATATGACGACACATGATATCGTGCTAGATACTTGTTGGTTGTTGGTTGCTGTCAAACTGAGCATAAGATAAGGAGTTGCCGCAAAACACCAAAGCTGATGAATCTCAACTTCGTTCAGATCAATGGCCAAAATGTTAAACAACCCTGAGATCCGCACTGCCCGTCGTTTAGGTATCCTGTAAGTCAACCACGATACCTTTATCAACACTTGCTTATCAGCCACCAGAGAGACCGGCTCGGCAGCTTATCACTTGTTCGGCTTGTATCGCTGTGTAATAATATCAGCGCGTTATGTTGTACCGTCAAATACATATCCAAATGAAGCCATTCTCGCTGCCGTAGCAAATCTCATCAATGAGAATCCTATGCTCCGAGTGGGCATCCAAGGCGAAGGCGACATGGAAGCCTATTTCACACACGTGCCTGAGATGAGACTGTGTGATTTCGTCGAATTTCGTACCTGGGGTCCTGAAGAAGACCATGACAAGTGTCTGAACGACTTACACTGCGAACTGCATGACCAATACTGGCAGAACATTGAGACAAGGCCCCCGTGGCGGGTCGTCGTTGGCAGGCCGTCCGGTGTCACAGAAGATAACGGAGCTCCTCTCTTTGAGGACATTTCATTTGCCTTTCACCACTCTCTTATGGACGGCATGGGCGGAAGGCTATTCCATGAGAAACTACTCGCCCAATTGAACGCCCTGCCCGCGAACCTAGCGGCCCCCGAGGTTCTCTCCTTTCCCGAGCCACCAGTACTTCCTGAACCACAAGAGAAGGTCATAGATTACACGTCGACGCTATCTGGCCGAGCTACTCTCCTATGGAAACGATATCGACCCTGGTTCCTCACTCCTGGCCCACCAAAGATATGGGCTGGTGAACCTGTTGACTTTGATCGCCACAAGGCTCGCTTGGTTACCGTGGATATCCCACCAGCAGTTGTACTGACTGCCCTCAAAGAGACGCGCGCTCACGGGACTTCTATGACTGGTCTTTTGCATGCCCTTGTCCTTGCATCACTATCGAGACGAATTCCTACTGCCCCGGCCTTCATTTCGTCGACACCCATAAGCATGCGTCCCTACATATCACCTAATGCTGGCCCTGCTATCAAGGACGCACTGTTCGGTGCTGTAACCGGCATGTCACACAAGCACTCTTCTTCAGCAGTGGCCGCCTTACAGGCTGCAAAGGGGGATGAGATTAATGACCTTATCTGGAGCCACGCAAGGAGAGTCAAAGACGAGCTCAAGAAAAAGACATCTACAATCCCCGTGGACGATGACATGTTGGTTCTCGCGACCATCACCGATTGGAAAGCACTTCTACGGAAGAAGGATGGCCAACCGCGACCTCGATCGTGGGAAGTTAGCAACGTCGGCACTCTTCCAGCCCTGACTGAAGAGCCGGGTAAGAGGAGTATTCATCGCATGCTGTTTACAAATGGCGTCATGGTTGCAAGCGACCCCATGAGTGTCAGTGTAGCAAGTGTCAAGAACGGCCCCTTGACGATGGGAATTACATGGAATGACGGTTTTGTGGAAGACGAGATCATTGAGGGGCTGAAGGACGATCTGGCGATGTATCTAAGGCGGCTGCATGAGACGGGGGTAATTACTGGTGAGTCGTAGCCTGAAGAGTTGTGATGCTAGCCTCTGTGTAGATGGCTCAAGCGCGTCCACGGTACAGTAAGTGAGACTCGAGGCTGCGAACGAACGGCAACTCGGGCGAGAGACTGGCCCGGGTTCTACGGTTCTCCGGGACGGCCAAGTCGGATCCCGAAAATGCCGGACCTCTTGGAGACCCCGAAGACCCTTCAGGATGAAACAAGATCTGGGACATGCCCTTGTCACTTGAATCCTAAGATCAGCGCAAAGCCAAGTCTCTAGTCTCTAACATAATGATCGATACGAAGTTTATGTTTCTTCAAGAAAAGTATTCATATTCCCGTTATGAAATGTTAAGGGCTATTGTGCATTAAAAGCTATAATCCAAAGTATTCTATTCTTCTTGGAGGTGTGCCCAGATCATCTCACATCAGTCCACCTCATGCCAGAATTCAATTCAAAAGAGGTCGTTAAGGACCCTATTCCCAATCTATCCAAACGCCTCGCAAATTTTATGCAATGAAACCGTTCTCTTTTCGGAACGTCTCTACCATCCCTCGCCGGGGTTTCTCCTCGCGCGGTTATTACCGCGGAAGTAATCGTATGAAGGCTCCTCGTTCTGTGCAAGACCGCTGTAGCCTTGAGGACCGCCGCCCATAGCGCCGACTGAAGGCCCAGGCGACTGAACAGGCGTCATGCGGCCTGGCGTGCTGAGATTGCTGTATGCGGGAGCCGCGGCGTTGGAGATTAATCCAAGACCCGATGAGCTTCCGTTGTTTTGCGAGTACAAGGGACTGCGGCCACGGGCAGGGGGCTCTGTGCCTAGAGTCATTTGCTGCGTAAATCCGGTGTTGGGCGCGCCACCTGGTCGGTATGCTGAATAGCTAGTATCACCGCTCGTGTTACTAGCAAGAGACATGAGACGTTGCTGCTGAGCTGCCCCACCTGCAAAGGGAGAACCACTTCGGCCTACAGGTGTGCCGGGTCGTGAGAAATCGCTACCATCGACTGATCCAGGTGTACCCGGGCGAGCGATTTCTCCAGGTCGGCCGTAGATCTCGCCTCCACCATGGTCCTCTGCGAACTCGGCTCGGTTCTTGTAATACTCAAAGTCCATCTGGCTGTCTGACACGAACTCGAAGCCGGGAACGTTGTTGGCACTCTTGCCTGGTCGTCCTTTCTGCATAGGATCGAGAGAAACCATATCCGAGTAACCACTAACTGTCATCATGTCACCGGAATCGACATCTCTGCCATCGCTCAGGCGGCCCTTGTAGATAGCAGGTAACAAGTTCTGCGCACTCGAATGAACCATGGGAGTAATCAGAGGTCGGTAAAGTGCAGGGTGACCAAAACGATTCGCCAATCGCTCACTGCGCATACGGTTCTCCTTGGGGTCCACGCCGTTCTCGGGTGTCTTGGTAACGTCCACAATACTGTAGTAGGTGATCTTGTTGTTAAAGGCGCGGTTGCAGTAAATCTTGAAGATTATCAAGATAAATGGCAGTGGTACCAGACTAAAAAATTCAATATGCGACCCTGCATTGCCACGAACCCAGCAAGTCAACATGACAACCAGGTTGGAAAGCATGGTTGCGAAGATGAAACGGTTGAAGATGACTCGCCAGAACATTCCACCTGATTCAGTCTTGGTGACAAAGCGGTAGAGGAGAAGGTACTTCTTGAGCCACGAGTCAATGAGGAAGTAAAGAGCTGTTGCTGGCAGGACCAGAGGCTGAATACCGGCAAAGCACATAGTGACTGTAGCGTAGTAAAGGAAGTAGTTGTAGTAACTGGCGTACTCGAAAGGCGGCGGGGCAGTGAGCTCAATAAGCTCTCGGGGTGTTGGGCTTGAGAACTTCTTGAGGAAGAACGCTTGGACGAGCGGCCACAGTTGGGCAAGGTCAATAGCCGCACCGAGTTGACGCTGGAGCAGATACGTGACCCAAAACAGACTGTTGTTACATAAAGCTATGAACATGGAAGACGCGATGTCGTTCTTCTTGATGGACTCCCACACATCCTGCTTGACCGACCCAGTCGTATCCTTTACGACGTTGGACACGAAACTCCAGATGACACTGAAGATGGAGAAGATGAGCAGATTGTTGAAGACGAAGAAGAAGTAAAGCTTGGCCAAAACGTGCCTTTCACGTCCAGTCTTGGTCTGGTCACCAGCCTTGACTGAGAGTCGACGGAAGATCATAGGGAGAACAAGGTATGTCAAAGACATGATGGCCGGAGAGAGAACGCCCTGAATAGCACCCCACACCTTGGGATGGTTAGCGAGCTCGGTTCTGAACGCAGGCCAAACCTTGCCCAGATTCTGTAAGTTGACGAGAAAGATGGCAATGCCAAGGTTAGGAACAATCCAGATAAGAGTCAGAAGAGTGATCCAAAAGTTATTGATCCACCGTCTTCGTCCTCGAGTGCTGCTGTAGAGAGGCATGTTCTCCCAGATGATGTCATTGGGCCGAGGTGCGAGTCTGACCGTGGCACCGACAGGCTTCTTATTGCGACAAGCGTAGGCGATACCGTGAGCCTCTGCGATATCTGCGTAACTCGCGAAACCGTAAGGCATTGAGCCTCGCTTGTCGACCGTGGCGCGTACTTCCTTGATATGAATCTCGAGATCGCGAATTCGCTGGGTGTAATATTCTATGGCATCCACCTTCTGGCCTCGGGGATAAGTTCCGTAAGATCGGTCCTTCTTGGAGGGCTTGCACATGGGTCGAGCAGCTGGGACGTTCTTGGGGTCCTTGAGGTACTTAGCCAAGACCTGCTCAAGCTTGCGGACAGCGTGGTCGTGTTGCGCGATAAGCTCCGGAAGCTCTTTGACATTTCGGGCAACAGCGGTTCGAGCAAAAGACGAGTTGGGAGCAATCTGATCGATAATTCTTGCGATACCCTCATCGGAGCAGCCCTTCTTGGGGATATCAAACACCTGCAGTCGTGTGTAAGTAACCGTTTTCTAGTGGTGGCCTTTCTGATCTTACCATCAGGGTTCGGGAGTGAAGACTCTTCTGGTAATCCTCGCTCTCAAAATACTTGCGCCGAAGCTGAAGAACCTTGCTGTAGTTGAACCAAAGGAAGCCCATGACGATGAAATTGAAGCACCAGGCGATAATGACCTGGGACCAAATTGCCGGAGCAAATACATTGAGAGGTGTGATGTTGATTACCCAGTTGGCTGTTTTATCACCCTTGTACTCTTGCCATCTTGTATAGTTGATTGGGAGTAAGATACCGACACCAGTGATACACAAGGTAAGGAACATATTGCGGCACATGCGAACGAAGCGCAGGAAGACAGTGGCGTCCATACCGATCAATGGTACAAGCTGCTCTTCTTTGGTCTGCCATAATGTCGTGATCCATGACCATGGGGCCTTTCCGATAGGGGGCGGTACGTGCTTCTCGTCGGCATGTTTCAACTTCGGGGCATAAATGGCCTGGTGGTATGGTCGAAGAATGGAAAAGATGATGGCAATGCCGATTGTGACAGGGATCGAGGTAGCTAAAGCTGAATACAGCGAGGCAGCTTGGAGCTGAGGGACCGCGTTAGCAGGGACGTATACTTGGGATGTCGTGCATCGGGACATACCTGTTGACTGAAGGGTTCTTGAAGAAGATCGAGCAATTGCTTGCCAGTATCCTCTTCCTGCCGACCATAGAGGTGGGCTGTATAATCCATATCGGGCGCGCGAGCTCCGCCAACTGGCGAAGACGTTGTAGCTTATCTCGAATGTCTAACGGCACTGCAGTCGACGGCGCGACGACGTTTCTCCGAGCTCTCCGAATTTATTGTTGTCGGCCACGTGTGTAAAGTTGAGATTGACTGGCTCGAATTGGGGATGGTCTCGTATTCGCAGGGATCGCAGACAAGATAAGAGCTGAAGAGGGCGGGACTATAGGGGCGACTGGAGAGATGTAGATATTCGAGGTCAGGCGCCACTTGACAGATCAATCGTCGTAAACAAAGAGCCCTTGGTAAACGAGAGTCGCTGTGTCGTTAAAGAAGCTTGCTTGGTCGGGAAGGCCCGTGAGCGAAAGGACGAGGCGCCAAAAGGGGCGAAGCGAACGGAATATGGCGTCACTCAGGAACAGGCGACGACGATGGGGATAAGAGAATAAAGAAAGAAACAAAGGAGGACCGATGATACGGAGAGATGCGACGTTAAGGTTAAGCAAAGCAGAGTACGTACGTAAAGAAGGAGGTAAAGGTAAAGAAGGGTAAAAGTAGGGCTGGGGGTGGAGGTTCTATTCGCGGACTAAGACAAGACTAAGAACTAAGGAGCCATGACAATGACATGGGATGGATCCTATTATCATGGGGGTTAGACTCTAACGTAGACAGTTTTTTTTTTCTTTTGGGGGAAGCCATCAAAAGATAAAGCTTGGCAGCCATTATGCATCTGTGCATGCATCAATGTGGCAGCGTGAGGGTGAGTGAGCGGGTGAATGAAGCCAATAAAAAGTCCCCTGTTTTGGAGATTCTCAACCAAGCGCTAGTCATGGTAGAATGATCGAGACCTGTGATCAACAGTGTCAGTTAATGACCACTTAAAAAAATGCCAACAGCACCATCATTCTCATTCCTGGAGATATTGCTGATTCTACTTTTTGAAGTCCTCATACCATCTCCGTCCGCTGTTTACCCTGGCACGCGGCCTCCGTGGGGATAAGACCCGACCTCACCAAGACCAAGACCAAGACCCAGCTTCAGAAGTCTCAAGTTCTATTTTTGACGCCTCTTGACCCGCTACAGTGGGGACCCTCTTCAACCGTAGCACGGGCCGGGAGACCCCTGTCAGCCAATCGTCTCCCTCCCTCAAGCTTCTGGGTACGCCACGCCTCTCGGTCTTTGCCCCTGCATTGGATGGATCCCCTGGAGACTGGGACGTGAGCTTTTTTGGCGTCTCGAAAGACGCTGAGAATACGAACATTCCAACAGTTGCTCTTCCAGAAGGGGAAAGTGATGGGATGGCTCTCTGCTGGCACTGGCTGGCACTTTGCTGGCCAAA